AAGAGTTTATTACATTAAGAACTGTTATTACATTAAGAACTGTTATTATATTAAGACTTATTACATTAAGAACTGTTATTACATTAAGAGTTTATTATATTAAGAACTGTTATTACATTAAGAACTGTTATTACATTAAGAACTGTTATTACATTAAGAACTGTTATTACATTAAGAGTTTATTACATTAAGAACTGTTATTACATTAAGTTATTAACTGTTATTACATTAAGAGTTTATTACATTAAGAACTGTTATTACATTAAGAATTGTTATTACATTAAGAACTGTTATTACATTACATTATTATTACATTAAGAACTGTTATTACATTAAACTGTTATTACATTAAAGTTATTACATTTGTTATTACATTAAGAGTTTATTACATTAAGAACTGTTATTACATTAAGAACTGTTATTACATTAAGAACTGTTATTACATTAAGAGTTTATTACATTAAGAACTGTTATTACATTAAGAACTGTTATTACATTAAGAACTGCTATTACATTAAGAGTTTATTACATTAAGAGTTTATTACATTAAGAACTGTTATTACATTAAGAGTTATTAAATTAAGAGTTTATTACATTAAGAACTGTTATTACATTAAGAGTTATTACATTAAGAGTTTATTACATTAAGAACTGTTATTACATTAAGAACTGTTATTACATTAAGAGTTATTACATTAACTGTTATTACATTAAGAGTTTATTACATTAAGAACTGTTATTACATTAAGAACTGTTATTACATTAAGAACTGTTATTATTACATTAAGACTTATTACATTAAGAACTGTTATTACATTAAGAGTTTATTATATTAAGAACTGTTATTACATTAAGAACTGTTATTACATTAAGAGTTTATTATACATTAAGAACTGTTATTGTTATTATTACATTAAGAATTGTTATTACATTGAGAGTTTATTACATAAAGAACTGTTATTACATTAAGAGTTATTACATTAAGAACTGTTATTACATTAAGAGTTTATTACATTAAGAACTGTTATTACATTAAGAACTAAGTTATTACATTAAGAACTGTTATTACATTAAGAGTTATTACATTAAGAACTGTTATTACATTAAGAACTGTTATTACATTAAGAGTTATTACATTAAGAACTGTTATTACATTAAGAGTTTATTACATTAAGAACTGTTATTACATTAAGAGTTTATTACATTAAGAACTGTTATTACATTAAGAGTTATTACATTAAGAACTATTATTACATTAAGAACTGTTATTACATTAAGAACTGTTATTACATTAAGAACTGTTATTACATGAAGAGTTATTACATTAAGAACTGTTATTACATTAAGAACTGTTATTACATTAAGAGTTTATTACATTAAGAACTGTTATTACATTAAGAACTGTTATTATATTAAGACATTAAGAGTTATTACATTAAGAACTGTTATTACATTAAGACTGTTATTACATTAAGAACTGTTATTACATTAAGAACTGTTATTACATTAAGAATTGTTATTACATTCAGAGTTTATTACATTAAGACTTATTACATTAAGAACTGTTATTACATTAAGAGTTTATTATATTAAGAACTGTTATTACATTAAGAACTGTTATTACATTAAGAATTGTTATTACATTGAGAGTTTATTACATAAAGAACTGTTATTACATTAAGAACTGTTATTACATTAAGAACTGTTATTACATTAAATTATTATTACATTAAGAGTTTATTACATTAAGAACTGTTATTACATTAAGAGTTATTACATTAAGTTATTACATTAAGAGTTATTACATTAAGAACTGTTATTACATTAAGAATTGTTATTACATTAAGAGTTTATTACATTAAGAACTGTTATTACATTAAGAAGTTATTACATGAAGAGTTTATTATATTAAGAACTGTTATTACATTAAGAACTGTTATTACATTAAGAGTTTATTACATTAAGAAGTTATTACATTAAGAACTGTTATTACATTAAGAGTTTATTACATTAAGAACTGTTATTACATTAAGAACTGTTATTACATTAAGAGTTTATTACAATAAGGACTGTTATTACATTAAGAGTTATTACATTAAGAGTTAATTACATTAAGAACCGTTATTACATTAAGAACTGTTATTACATTAAGAACTGTTATTACATTAAGAGTTATTACATTAAGAACTGTTATTACATTAAGAGTTTATTACATTAAGAACTGTTATTACATTAATATTTGTAATTGCATTAAGAGTTGTAACATGTGGACTTCTGAAAAAAAAATCCCTTTAAGGCAGACATGTCAGCTCTGACGTGATTTATTTACGACATCACAATAGTGTTAGTACACACGTCTTACGATATTTATGCTATGTCCGTATGCCATGTCACAACAGGCCATTTAGATGATAAAATGGAGGGCTTTCATGCAACATAATCATTCATCTACGGAATAGTAAATTGATTTATCACAACTTCCGTATTTATATATTTTGTAGACGCACTTTCTAACGCTGGGAATGCTCATCATTTGGATGTAAACTTAATACAAAATCATATTTGAATAGATGAAGCCAAGCCGATAATATAAAAAATATATTTATCTAATACAATGAAGACAATGAAAAAGATAATTTGGTTTCAAAATTCTTTGAAGTCTCACAAAAAATATGATAAATGGAAATTATTCCTTTCTACTCTCAGATTCGATCATACTTAGAGAGCTGAGTTAAGCGTAATGCGTGTAAGGGTTGACTTTCGCTCTTGATAGTGATGATCGTACATGTATGTTATAAACCGGATTTCAATTATCCGGCATCCATCTATATGGTGATTCGACTTATCAGAACATTTCGTGCCGAGATTTATGACAGGATTATACGCCATTTCAAATTTGATTTCTTGAAAAATGAAATTTACAGGAAATTTGAAAAAGGGTGCCGAGACATGTATGTTGGTATCAAAGTATTGTATTTTAGTCTATTTCTGGACAGATATATTCGAACAGAATTTCAAAACGAACAATAAAAACTGTCTCCGTTTCTTTAAAAAGAAACCAATCTAGAAAATTGTCACTGCCAATCACAAGTCTGCTAAAAACAGCATCGAGCTCCAATACTTAAACGACTTGTAAAGTAGATTGCTCTCTGTATTTGTAATTACTGTTAGATGATAGGTTTCATCAGTGCAATCTAGCGCAATATATGGTACTAAGATAAGTAGTATTATCCGAAATATAGGTTTAATTACTCGACAAAGCATCGGGGATCTAATTCAGACGATACAAAGTTCGACATATGATTACTGGTTAGGTTCATACCTGTTTTGTTGTATCTTTGGTGTACCTGGGATATTTAATGTGGAAGATACAATTTATTCTTAAGTATTCCTATCTACTAACTGTATCCAAACGAATATTGATTTGCCTCGGTTTATCTGCTGGCTTTATCACTCAGTGAACGACAATTATTATATAAAGGCAGCGTCTCCTTAGAAGTAGCTAGTGGCTACCTCGCTGAACACCATACAAGAGTCCCATCGCATGCTACAAAGAGCAATTCGGATAAAGCGTATTGGTCAATGACACAATCACGACAACACAAATCGGCCCTATTCTCAAGCAACATTTTTGAGAAGCATAAACCGCGACGGGTAAGGAACTTTGATCCAAACACATGGAATCTCCACCTCACCTACGCTCTGCCGATTGAGCTGCCCTTGTCCCAATTTGATTATACTCGGCATCAATGAAAGATGAATACGACATGTCGTTTTAGTCAGACTATAAAACAGTGAGTCTAATACATCAACAACAGAACAGAGGTAACTCGCACTAACATAGTCTGGATGAGATTTCAGTAAAAAGGTGGTTCAAAGCAGAGAACCAGAATATTCTTTTTGTCTTTGAATTTTTCAGAATTTAAAATACCCTAACGTTCAATGGCTACATCTGCATCAAAATGAGAACATTTTTAGAATCAAGTAGCTCAGTAATTGACTTCTGAGTGTTTTGAAAGCCACACTTTTATCGTCTCCAAAACTCCCATTATCGGAGAAGACGGCCAGATAGAAAGTATTTCCAGCCTAATTTCTTTTGATGCAGTGTGAAAACCACAATTCAGGGAACAATATAGCTTTTAAAATCCTGATCATTATTTTATAGAAAATGCGCGATTGGTAAGGCCATTTTCGTAATGTAGTTTGCACGTGTAGCATATCAAATTAAAATCAAGCCAGGCATCCTTTGGGGGGGGAAATACGAGTTCGTGGGCACTTGAGCTGCATTGGATAACACTGTATCATAGTTAACGTAGATCTGAAAATACATTCTTTGTTTCAACATGAAGCATAAAACCAAAGATTTGGAGTTATTTCTAATCTCTACTTTTGATTTTTACTTAAGATTTCAAATTATGTGGATATTAATCATTTTCATCAGCGAATTTCAAATTCAAGTGATTGAGGAAAGTTCGGAGAGAATTTTTTAGTTTCGAATTTTACGTTATCACAGAAGTTTTGGTTATCAGAGTTATTCGAGGCTAGCTTTATAGGAAAACAAAGTAGAAGGTTAGCAAATTTTTTTATTTTTTAACCAAAAGATTAGGAGACTGATAATGCTTGTTCAGCGAGTGTAACAAATACCTGAATTTGTTCTTATCATGCTGAAGTTTCATTTCTGTATATAATAATGAATACAAACAATTGAAATTCTCTTTCCAAAGTTTACAACCACATCCATAATATGTATGTTGTAACCAGAAAAAAGGTTTGTATCTACGATATGCTTCAGCTTCAGTTCCACCCTTTTGGAATAATTCTAGCCATGATGGAAAATGAATTCAAAGAGAGTAAGAACTAGCGCTTTTTTTATTGTTTATGTGCAAAATATAAACCCAATTATGTTCAACGTGCCGTATCTATGTGACTGCAGGTCGCGGAGTGAGACACACAACTTATCTGTTATTGAATATACATTATACTTCAGTATGGAATATTTATCAATTTTCATTTTCATATCCGTTACATGTTCCATAATAGATGATAAAAATCAAACTGATTTTTGAAATCGTTGTCTGTCCGAACCCAATTTCTCGTTCATAAATCGGAGGATGGTTTAAGCTGAACTCCATGCCTGACGGATGGTAATTCTCCGATGTGTTATGTGTAGTTGTGGTGCCTGACGGATGGTAATCCTCCGATGTGTTCTGTGTAGTTGTGGTGTCTGATGGATGGTAATTCTCCGATGTATACTGTGTAGTTGTGGTGTCTGATGGATGGTAATTCTCCGATGTATTCTGTGTAGTTGTGGTGTCTGATGGATGGTAATTTTCCGGTGTGTTCAGTGTGGTTGTGGTGTCTGATGGATGGTAATTTTCCGGTGTGTTCAGTGTGGTTGTGGTGTCTGATGGATGGTAATTCTCCGATGTATTCTGTGTAGCTGTGGTGTCTGATGGATGGTAATTCACCGATGTATTCTGTGTAGTTGTGGTGTCTGATGGATGGTAATCCTCCGATGTGTTCTGTGTAGCTGTGGTGTCTGATGGATGGTAATTCTCCGATGTGTTCTGTGTAGTTGTGGTGTCTGATGGATGGTTATTCTCCGATGTATTCTGTGTAGTTGTGGTGTCTGATGGATGGTAATTCTCCGATGTGTTATGTGTAGTTGTTTTGTCTGATAGATGGTAATTCTCCGATGTGTTCAGTGTAGCTGTGGTGTCTGATGGATGGTAATTCGCCGATGTGTTCAGTATAGTTGTGGTGTCTGATGAATGGTAATTCGCTAATGTGTTCTGTATAGTTGTGGTGTCTGATAGATGGTAATTCCCCAATATGTTCTGTGTAGTTGTGGTGTCTGATGGAAAGTAATTCCCCAATATGTTCTGTGTAGTTGTAGTGTCTAATGGATGGTAATTTTCCGATGTGTTCAGTGTGGTTGTGGTGTCTGATGGATGGTAATTCTCCGATGTGTTATGTGTAGTTGTTTTGTCTGATAGATGGTAATTCTCCGATGTGTTCAGTGTAGCTGTGGTGTCTGATGGATGGTAATTCGCCGATGTGTTCAGTATAGTTGTGGTGTCTGATGAATGGTAATTCGCTAATGTGTTCTGTATAGTTGTGGTGTCTGATAGATGGTAATTCCCCAATATGTTCTGTGTAGTTGTGGTGTCTGATGGAAAGTAATTCCCCAATATGTTCTGTGTAGTTGTGGTGTCTGATGGATGGTAATTCTCCGATGTGTTATGTGTAGTTGTTTTGTCTGATAGATGGTAATTCTCCGATGTGTTCAGTGTAGCTGTGGTGTCTGATGGATGGTAATTCGCCGATGTGTTCAGTATAGTTGTGGTGTCTGATGAATGGTAATTCGCTAATGTGTTCTGTATAGTTGTGGTGTCTGATAGATGGTAATTCCCCAATATGTTCTGTGTAGTTGTGGTGTCTGATGGAAAGTAATTCCCCAATATGTTCTGTGTAGTTGTGGTGTCTAATGGATGGTAATTCTCCGATGTGTTATGTGTAGTTGTGGTGTCTGATGGATGGTAATTTACCGGTGTGTTCTGTGTAGTTGTTGTGTCTGATGGATGGTAATTTTCCGGTGTGTTCAGTGTGGTTGTGGTGTCTGATGGATGGTAATTCTCCGATGTGTTCTGTGTAGTTGTGGTGTCTGATGGATGGTAATTCTCCGATGTGTTCAGTGTAGTTGTGGTGTCTGATGGATGATAATTCCCCGATGTGTTCTGTGTAGTTGTGGTGTCTGATGGATGATAATTCCCCGATGTGTTCAGTGTAGTTGTGGTGTCTGATGGATGATAATTCCCCGATGTGTTCTGTGTAGTTGTGGTGTCTGATGGAAAGTAATTCCCCAATATGTCTGTGTAGTTGTGGTGTCTAATGGATGGTAATTCTCCGATGTGTTATGTGTAGTTGTGGTGTCTGATGGATGGTAATTTACCGGTGTGTTCTGTCTAGTTTTGGTGCCTAAGGAATGGTAATTCACCGGTGTGTTTTGTGTAGTTGTGGTGTCTGATGGATGGTTATTCTCCGATGTGTTCTGTGTAGTTGTGGTGTCTGATGGAAGGTAATTCCCCAATATGTTCTGTGTAGTTGCGGTGTCTGATGTATGGTAATTTACCGGTGTGTTCTGTGTAGTTGTGGTGTCTGATGTATGGTAATTCACCGATGTGTTCAGTGTAGTTGTGGCGTCTGATGGACAACGCGATTGGAAAGGTGCAGAATTACATGTACATTGTCAGGAAAAGCATCAAAACTATAGATTTAAACTACTTTAGGATTGACACATTAGCCTTGTGAATGTTTGTGTAAATCACTGGAATGTTTTTGAGCCGTGCTCAAACGAAATGGAACAATACAATTTTATTGGACATATGTTGATAAATTTACATGTTTACTCTAACATAGTGAAATATCAATAAATACTTGACATTCTGTACTATTGTAGATTGTTTTCCGTTATGTATACTAAACCTTATGTTTCTTTCTGATATTTCATTAGTGTCCGACCGGGGCCGGGAGGGAGGGAGGGATACAGTTTTAAGTGGTGTCTCTATCTCTTACACTACAAATGACTTGAACATCATATTAGGAATATGGGTTCACTTTGTTAAGGCGGTGTGTCATGTATTAAAAGATGTTGCTCTGACCTAAACTTTCACCTTTGACCTACATGTACATTAAAAAAAGGCTTGGTTTGCATATAATTTTACAATCGGTCGGGGCTGTTATTCACCGAAGTGTCTCCTTAGGTCTCTGTTGCAGTTTGACTCCTTGTTGAAGAGTTCCGATTCTTGAGGTGAGGTTTGGGTCAATTGTAGAGAAGCGTAATTTTGTTGACAAAACCTGGATTTGCTGTGTTTGGAACTTAGACCTTGCTGGTGATGTTTGGGGTCTTTGTTGGAGCTTTAGGCCTAGCCAGCTTGTTTTGGGAACTGGAATTTGAAATTTAAACCTACCTGGCGATGTTTTGAATCTGTGATTGAGCCCCAGCTTGCGAGGTTGATATTAGGACTAGTTTAACCTGGTGAAGTTTGGCGGTCTGTTTATGTTGCAGAACATTTATTAGTGAAGTTCTACGTTGCGTACATAATTCTGGTATAGTATGGAGTCTCCTTTGATGTAGTCATGGATATTAGACCGTGGTGGAATTTGTAATGAATGTTCGTGTAGTTGCCATGAGAGACATCTGGCATCACTAGAGGAAGTGAACAGCTGTGTGCTGCACTTTATTCATTATTGATACTACTGAGTTTTATTCTAAATTTGTACTTGACAACGTAATTCATCAAACAAACACTGTTTCATTGTCTTTAATTGTGTTCTGAAAAAGAAATCTCTAAAGTGACCGTTTTCCACTATGGTGTCCACAAAGCCACATAACATTGCTTTCATTAGCTTTTGGTTCTTTCACTATTTTCACTATCCTTCTGATCTATACATTTTAAAACACAATGCTAGGCTGGCAGTTTTGTACATTTAATGCCCATCTTTTATTTGATTTAAACAGATTCAGTTTTCCAAATGATTTGAAATATACAATGATCGGCTTCTGCCATAACAACTGTACTGAAAGGTGCTATTCACTTGTGTGTCTTTTTGTCTTTTATAATATATAATCTTATTACAAAGCGGCACAAAAAAGTTTGTTGTAATCTATATTTTTAGAAACCCTGTGAGACCTTTAGGTACTGCATTGCACATTTATAACATCCTTAGGACTAAACACCAAGAGACACAAGAATTTGAATGTATCTTTGGTATATCGATATATGCTGTATTGTGATCATGGCCGAGTTATTTGTAAAGACACACGGGTTTATTCTCAGGAAAGTAGTCAGATGACAATAGACGTCACGTTTTAGCTTCTGAAAGTCATAGTGTGTACAGACGCCTATTCAAAAAGTCTAAACGGATGGTAGAGGTTTTCATTACTTATCATACGTATTTAAGAATGCCTTGAATATTGAGGTCTAAATGATCAGTAAAACAACAGGAAACTATGGACATGAAAACTGAATCTTATTTCAAATTCAAAATTGATGAAACGAAGGTGAACTACGAACAGAAGAAAGATTTATACACAGAGACACTCAAACAGGAAGATGAATACACAGAGATCCTCCAGCAGGAAGATTTATACACGGAGACACTTCAACAGGAAGATTTATACACAGAGACACTCCAACTGGAAAGATTTATACACAGAGACACTCAAACAGGAAGATGAATACACAGAGATCCTCCAGCAGGAAGATTTATACACGGAGACACTTCAACAGGAAGATTTATACACAGAGACACTCCAACAGGAAAGATTTATACACAGAGATACTCAAACAGGAAGATGAATACACAGAGATCCTCCAGCAGGAAGATTTATACACTGATACCCTCCAACAGGAAGATTTATACACAGAGACCCTACAACAGAAAGATTTATACACAGAGACACTCCAACAGGAAGATTTATACACAGAGACACTCCAACAGGAAGATTTATACACAGAGACCCTACAACAGGAAGATTTATACACAGAGACACTCCAACAGGAAGATTTATACACAGAGACCCTACAACAGGAAGATTTATACACAGAGACCCTCCAACAGGAAGATTTATACACAGAGACACTCCAACAGGAAGATTTATACACTGATACCCTCCAACAGGAAGATTTATACATAGAGACACTCCAACAGGAAGATTTATACACAGATACCATCCAACAGGAAGATTTATACACAGAGACCCTCCAACAGGAAGATTTATACATAGAGACACTCCAACAGGAAGATTTATACACAGAGACACTCCAACAGGAAGATTTATACACAGAAACTCTCTGATAGAAAGATTTATACACAGAGACCCTCCAATAGAAAGATTTATACACAGAGACACTCCAACAGGAAGATTTATACACAGAGACACTCCAACAGGAAGATTTATACACAGAGACACTACAACAGGAAGATTTATACACAGAGACACTCCAACAGGAAGATTTATACACAGATACAATCCAACAGGAAGATTTATACACGGAGACCCTCCAACAGAAAGATTTATACACAGAGACCCTCCAACAGGAAGATTTATACACGGAGACACTCCAACAGGAAGATTTATACACAGAGACCCTCCAACAGGAAGATTTATACACAGAGACCCTACAACAGGAAGATTTATACACAGATACCCTACAACAGGAAGATTTATACACAGAGACCCTCCAACAGGAAGATTTATACACGGAGACACTCCAACAGGAAGATTTATACATAGAGACACTCCAACAGAATGATTTATACACAGAGACCCTACAACAGGAAGATTTATACATAGAGACACTCCAACAGAATGATTTATACACAGAGACCCTACAACAGGAAGATTTATACACAGAGACCCTCCAACAGGACGATTTATACACAGAGACCCTACAACAGGAAGATTTATACACAGAGACACTCCAACAGGAAGATTTATACACAGAGACCCTACAACAGGAAGATTTATACACAGAGACACTCCATCAGGAAGATTTATACACAGAGACCCTACAACAGGAAGATTTATACACAGAGACCCTCCAACAGAAAGATTTATACACAGAGACCCTACAACAGGAAGATTTATACACAGAGACCCTCCAACAGGAAGATTTATACACAGAGACACTCCAACAGGAAGATTTATACACAGAGACACTCCAACAGGAAGATTTATACACAGAGACCCTACAACAGGAAGATTTATACACAGAGACCCTCCAACAGGAAGATTTATACACAGAGACACTCCAACAGGAAGATTTATACACAGAGACCCTCCAACAGGAAGATTTATACACGGAGACACTACAACAGGAAGATTTATACACGGAGACACTCCATCAGGAAGATTTATACACAGAGACCCTACAACAGGACGATTTATACACAGAGACCCTCCAACAGGACGATTTATACACAGAGACACTCCATCAGGAAGATTTATACACAGAGACCCTACAACAGGACGATTTATACACAGAGACCCTCCAACAGGACGATTTATATACAGAGACACTCCAACAGGACGATTTATACACAGAGACACTCCAACAGAAAGATTTATACACAGAGACACTCCAACAGGAAGATTTATACACAGAGACACTCCAACAGGAAGATTTATACACAGAAACTCTCTGATAGGTTCAAAGAGATAAAACACAGTGTATAGAATCGTCATTATCCACCGTGTAAACTTGGTAAATTTAAGTTAGGTTACGATCTTAAATGGTTACTATATTTAAAGAAATCCTCATTCATGTGACATTGTGAAGACATGTATCTTATCTTATTCATCTCTCAACCATATAAAAAGGAGTAATACCATACGTACTGCCTCACCTAATTTGTATCGTCAGTTGTACAGTTATATACATGTGTGTTGTACAATATCTGTAACAGAGGGTGAAACGTGAGTAATCACTATATGAATTTATCATATATGTATATGTAGCGTTAGCTATGTTAACGGAACGTATGCACTGTGATCTTTCTCAATTCAACTACAATCATTTCTATTAATAGACCTAACGTAACATAGGAATCAGTTTCATGTTTTACTTACCAGCCAGGAATCCCAGTAAGAGGAGGACAGTGGACAGAATCATGATCAGTACTTCCGGTTGTCAGTTGTCAATAAAATCCTTCGAAATTAACACTACATTTATAAAATACCATTGCCGAAGTTTCAGTTTTGAGCACGTTTCAAACCCTGTTGTTATTTTCGTTTTTTTCTTCATTGACGTAACAATCCAAACGATTAAAACGCTGCTTTTGAGAGATGGGTTGACAGTGTGTCCATCTTTACGAGTTAAATTCGATCAGTTTAATGTTGTGGTTATAAGATTTCCACATTTTCAAATTGATAACGTATTTTTTCGTCCATTAAATCTGCTAGGAAGAAAAACCAAAAGAATATTTCACACAAGGGTGTATTGATGATTTACACGTTCACAGACCTGTTCTGAACAAAACGGTCACTGAGGAGTAAAAACGAAAATAACCGGAAGTAAATTTTCAAAGCATGGAAATCACTCGGTAAACTTCAATAATAGCGGAGAAAATAGCCGGAAATTGCTTCCTTCGTCTGTCGCGAAATTAGATTAATAACGGTAGAATATTGCAAAATCTGTGACAGCAAATGTCCGGCAGAGGGTAGAATAATCCAAAGTCGGTCGATTTCTTCAGAACAACACTTGGTATACACTTAAATGTGTTCTATGATATTTTACATGAAATTCGAGATCCTTTAATGTTGAAAACTAGTTGTTCTCAAATTTTCCAACGGAAAACAAAACCAAACAATTCCCTGGAAATTATTTTTATCAATAATCCTTTAACATCGCCAATGCGAAAACAATATCAAACTCTGTC